CGACCCGAACATTGACCTCCTTAACATAGAATCAAATAATCTGATTAAAACACTATACGAATAGATTCGAGGACTCAAAAATCAATACCACTCGATTTCCATCAAAGCTAATACGTACTTACCAATCCTGAAAAGGACGTGAGTCGCACAAGGTAATAATTACACCGTTCTGTAACTATATTTTATTTTTATATATAAATTCATGTCCAACATATGATTGATTTCAAACATAAGAGCACCCTAAATAATAAAAAAATGAAATAAATTATTAAAAACTAGTCATAGATAAAATTTTAAAAATGCATTATAAAATGTAACACTTGTAGGAGCTAAGGTAAATTAATACTGAATATAGAACATGACTAGTCAAGCGACGGTATAATCGTTTTTATTTGTCAGATATAAATAATTAATTTATATATAATAATTCTTTTATACCGTCATTATAGATACATACACAGCACTATAAGCGGAGGTTTTAGTACTGAAGTAGATTCATTTAAAAATTACGATATAAAAGTACTTATAAACAAGCCTATTTGACATCTTTATTCAATTAGAATTTGATTTTGTAAAGTCTTCTAGATATCGATAAATACTGGCGATTATTGGATAAAAGAATTTATCTTTTTAAGTAAAAATTGTTGTACGACTTTCAGAATTTTTTATCTATTGTATTTTACTTGAAATAAGTACATATTTATTCAAGAATAAACTTATACCTGAGCCGAATTATAAAATCAACACAACAATACATACGAATACATGTAATTATGCAGCAGACTATTGGCTCAATTCTTTCTGTTTACCGTATAATGCAGGGAATATAGAATAAAAATATGGCTGGAAAAATCAAAGAATTTTAAATTTCAATGCCAAACGATTCTTCAACGGTGTGACGAGCTTCTTCGGCTATAATATACGCAAGCAAAGATCACAGATAAGTGGCAACAGAGCCTATTTTTCTCGCATTTTACCCCTGAGAAGCACCGCCCATCTTTCTACTATATTTATTACTTCAACCTTTCTTTTTGCGACTTGATTTAGGTCCCTCTTTTAGACGCTATCTTAATTGGTAAAGTTCCCCAAGATATGGTTTTATAGGAATCTGTGGCAGGACCTTTTGTGAAGTGAGTGATGGTAGCCATAATATTAATGTACCTAAGATCATATCAAGGTTCGTGTGAACGACATGAAAGGTATGAATAGTCTGTGAATAGCAATTTTATACGAATACAGGAGGTCGGGGATCCGCAGACATCAAGAGCTTTGTGGGTTCGTCGTTATTCAGGGCACTTATACGAAAGGTAATTTTTTAAAACATTTACTTATATTACATTTTGCCGATATGACTGTATCGTAAGGTACAATAGACAGATATAAAGAGGATGTATAGAAGCTGGAGAAACTCCTGCTCGTAAATACCGAAGTATGATCGATCAATAGGCATGGCTCATTAGATTATCGGGGAGGCCTATGTTAAGCAGTGGATGGATAATGGCTGAGATAGATCATCTGGATGCTTTGATCTAGATTAGCTAGATCTGACACACTCTTACACATGGTCCAATCGCAGAGGTAAGTTCAAAAATGCTCAAAGTAACAATTATACATGACTCCAATCAAAAGACTAACAATGCTAATAAAATTTATTAATCACTAACTTTTACCCTCGACTTCTTTCGCATAACTGAGATATCTTGGGTAACCAGGATAGAAATACACATATATCTTTCTTCATCCCGCGTCGTATACGTACCTATACCAAATTTCATTCCAAACTCACTTTCACCTTTATAATATTATGCGCAAGAATATGCATATTATAAGAAATACTATAGAGAGAGAAATAATATAGAGATGCTAGTCGAGCGCCACATGTGCGCGGAAGCGATAGTTTAAACTCAAATACAATACTTTGGACTCTGCTGTAGATAAAGTAACTCAAGCTAGAATCGTTGTAATAAAAGGCGATAAAGATCCACGACTTTAAAGATAACAGATACTTTATCACCATCAACTTGTCACCTATAGGCATGAATAGCAACATAAAAATTGTAGAATATAATTTTTTTTGGGATGATAATGTAATAGTAATGCTGCTTGTGCTCTCTCGGAGCACCAGGGAAGGATAATAGGTAAAAATGAAAGCTCAGTTAGCCCATAGTGTTAAATTCCACAAAAATTAACCACGATCGTATCCAAGGGGAAACCACGTAGAGGTCGACTTAATAGAGTATATAGCTAATAATGCGGCTGATAAATCCCTATTATTAACAATCCCCTTCCCTCCAGGATATACTATTATGTATGCCCATAACTCATACATTGACATGCACTCATACATTGGCATTCCTGAGGACTACGATTTTATGCCTCCCGTATTCTATAATTTCACCATATCCCACCCTTTAAACCGGATCACAGTCATGATTAGTAGGTACCTAATTCTGAATAGAATCGCTACCTAAACTTAATTGATTTAAATACAGACAAGTTATGTTTAACCGTGAATAGCTTCGCGACATAATATTTAAAAACCTTGTTAATAGGAACATCGTTTATGTATTTATATATATTTCTCTTCAAATATGATTATACCGGAGCTTCCGATTGTCTGATTCTACTTGTTTACATAGTCGTTCTATTGAACGACTATGTAAACAAGTAGAACAAGAGAGTTTATTATTAATAAATAAACAGCAAATTAATAAAAAAAAATATTGGTTTCAATTAATTGATCGCCAGAAAAGTAAACCCAATCAAGAGGTCTTTCGGCGTGGATTGTTAAAGTTTTAAAAAAGGTAATGAATTTTGTGTTATCCCTGTTTATTCCTTAATTGACTGGTAGACAGCGCCGACCTAGCGATAGAGCGAGAAAAGCGGTTGCTCTAGGCGCCAGTTGGCAAGGGTCACCAAACAACCAAATGCGAAAAACAATTCTAACGCAAAAAAATCGATGGCACCTTTTGTGGGCCCGGAATCAGTGTTGCCCAAAAATCAAAAACGTCAACCAAAAGGCGCCAAGACAATCTCGGCCTATCCTTATCAAGTATATTAAGTACATTGCTAAGTCCACATTTTACACTATTTAAGTTTATTGTAATACACTTAGAACCCGTTTAGAATAGGCCATCCCATCCTTTCCCGTGGGTGTCGTAAGAGGCGACTAAGAGAGGGCGAGGGATAGGCAGCAGCGTCCCTCTTCAAACATTTCTAAAGCCTAACTGTGGTTGCCAGTCCGTCTGCCAAGCGTAGTAACTACCGGCAGTGGACAGTTAAAGGCTGATATGATGATATGACAATACACTTAGATATATTGAACACTTTAGTTCACTACATATTCCATAATTTGTTAGCTATTTTTGATGTAGACTGCTATATACAGTAAATTTTAATGCACAATTCGAACAGACAGATTTGACTTGAAGACAAAGTTCCAACGTTGCTTATAAAGTTAGATACAAAGTTTTTCACTTCTAAAAGTAAGACATTGAAATTTCATGAGTTTGTTGACCTTATTACAAAGACTGCGTCTGCCTAAGATTAGACCTTGTTTGAATATTTTATTGGAAATCTGTAGATCTAAAAACAGACATTCCGGGAAACAATTTTTTAAATGCAAAAATTGTACTTTTACAGTTAGTTCTAATATTTTTTTTTTTTAATATTTTTATGAGAATTTGATTACCTTGTATAATGCTATTAATGTTGTAAATGTCACGACATTTATTATTCCATCTATATCAAGTTCAGACATTTATACAGAGAAAACAAATTTTAAAAGTAATAGCCCTCATTATCATATCAGACCTTAACTGTCTACTGCTGAGCATAGGCCTCACACATAAAGGGGATTTTGCCAGTAGTTGCCACGCAGGCAGATTGGCAACCACAATTAGGCTTTTGGTAATTTTTAAAGAGATTTTTTTTCGCAACTTAATGTAGTACCTTTGCCTATAAACATGAGCAGTACCATGGACATAACAGTATACTGTTTCGCTCATGATACACCCCATGTGTTTCCATTCCTGAGGACTAAGATGTTATTCCTCTGTACCCTGTAAATTTACTGCCATATCTCACTCCTTAAACCGAAACAGCCATGCAAACACAACTGCTTTACGGTAGAAACATGAGTGGGACAGAGGTTTGGGTATCTCTATCCTATTCGTGCAAATAGCTTTTGTACAAAGTCTCCTTCTGGTAAAACGGAATGCTGCTGCCGACCTTTGACTATTAAGTTCCCTTAGTCGCCTCTTACAACACCCATGGGAAAGGAAAGGGTGGCGCATTCCATGCTGGAACCATACACATGGAGTATACATATAAAACTTTTTAAGTATTTTACTTGCCAGAAAATATGTGTATCTTATTATAATTACACACATACATTTATTTTATTTATTTATTCTTTATTGACCACAATAAAAAAAAATTTGTTACAAAAGGAGGACTCTATGCTATATAGCATTCTTTCCCAATCAACCTTTGGCAAAACAGATATGTGTTTATGAAAAAATAAAAATTGTTGTATAAAAACATTACTAGGCTTATAATATTTGTCATTTCAAATTATTATTACTTGTTTCATTGTTCAGTATGTACTCTCGTTTGCCACTTTCTACTGATTTACTTTGCCTTGACTACTGATTGATATTCTATTCCTATAATAGGGGAATTATACCATTATCATTATGCTGATTCGATGACTTAGCATATACCAATGCCAATATAATGTACAAGATGTCATTTGTTACTTGGAACATATTTCGAGTTATCTTTCTTTATATTGTTGTACTTTTCTTATAACTTTTAATATACTTTGATCTTTTAAACTCAATATGTTGTAATTCAATACTATGATATTATATTACCATTCAAAGTAGTAATAATAGCATATAACATAATTTTGTAATTAATTTTCTGAAAGAAAATAAACTTTTCATATCAATCTACAACTTTTATTTTAAGGTAACAACTTGAATAAAAGACATTCGAGTATGCAATAACTGTACTTATTTTTGCTTATAAAATACTAAAGTTACAATACATTAAAACTAACTTAACTAAGTAATATCACATATCACCAGCGACAATTTTCACAGATAGAAAATTATATAAAACATTTTTGGCAAGCAGTTTAACTATAATAATCACAGACATGTAGGTCAACATTATTAATTACAGTTTCATCATTTTAGTAAATAAATACTAACATAATCTCGATATAAATACAAAGAAACATAAGTACGGTCCAATAAATAAATGAGTAACAGTTTGAAAATGCATTATTAAAATAAATACATTGTTGTAAGTACAAATTCGACAAAATTAATTCAACGCAGTAATCTCAATAAATTAAACTAAATTAATAATTTCGAGTTTGTTATAAATTACATTGCACTATTCAGTTTTAATACCCAAACACTACATAATAATATAAGTCCAAATAAACAATTTGAAGAACTAGATGAGGATGTTGAATTCAAAACAACTACAGGCCACCAATGTGTTATAGATATATATGAGTTTTCATCCTTTGGTTTTTCAGTAGTGGCATGTTCTAACATGTTATCTGGCATATAATTTCCACACCTAGGAAAAGCAGGCGGGACTGGAGGCATATCGTTATGATCACCAACTTTAAATACTAAAGCCATTCCAATCTCAACATGGAATTCAATGTGACAATGGAATAACCAATATCCAGGATTATCTGCTTTAAATCTGATGACTGTGTAACCTCCATCAGGTACTGTAACTGTATCTTTTATTGGTGCATTTTTAAGGTTTCTTTTCAATAAGCCAGCTTTATCAAATGCTTTCACTTCTTCTATTGTCGTCTCATTGGCCAATCGTCTCATACCGACTACCCTAAAGCTATGTCCATGTAAATGGAAAGGATGATTGGCATCGAACGTTACTCCCTCATCAAGGATAATAATTTCAACAACGGAATTTAATCTGACGGACAATACATGAGAACATTCACAGTAACCTTCCTTACAGTTGTCGTCAATGCTAGACGAATTGCAGAAGTTTTCTGGTGATGGTCTACTAATGAGTAATGGACTCGAAGGCATTTTCATACTGATGTGATTAAGTTGAGGAGTGTACAGACGATTGGTTTTCAGCGGTACTGTGAAATGAAGATTCTATTAATATTTTATATTTCCGTTTTAAATTATTTGATATAGTAAACCAGTTTAGAATCCAAATTAAAAAATAGCAAACTACAAACTTAATAATACCACGAATATTATAAATTATAGTGTGATGTCCATGAAATTTCTTATCAATTGTAGACTGTAATTCTAGTATTACAGATTACGATAGATGTTTTACCCAATATAGTATCAGCTTTTACAATTCTTATAAAAGTTTTTAAACTGGAAAATTATGATAATGCTTTTAAACAATTATTTATATTATTGTTTCATAATATATATCTATCGTAGGTCTTATCGTTTCCCATTCAGATAACATTTGAAAGACAAAATTAACATCATACAATTCAACGTCAAAGTTATTTCATATGGCAAGTCATATAAAAAAATACATAAATTTTAATATAGTCTGAATGAGTCTGTTTACCTTGATAATATCCATAGTAAGGTGACTTGTGGAAATGCGAATTATTCTTGGCATAGAAATCGTACGCTACATAAAATTGATAATCAGCTACTTCTTTTAATGAGTCATCGTAACCCGCAAGTGACTTCATCTCTGCTACACTTATAGTTTCATTTTCTTCTTCTCCTTTATTCAAAGCGTTTAGTTGCTGAAATAATATAAATTGATTTGATTAATTAATTTAAACACGATCCAATTATTTTTGTTTTATCCCCATTAGTAGCATTACCAACCAAATACATTTGTTCCTACATATAATGAAAACCATAAATGCTTCAAACATAAATGCTTGTGAAAACCTATTAGTGGCTTATTTTGTGATCCTAAACTATATATTTTTGCTCTAGTGTAGCCCTAGTTCTCCTATGAATAAATAAATAATTTAATATTTTTGCTCAAAAATTGTCATAGTTTATCTATACGTATAAGATTTCGCTACTAAATTCGAGAACATTCCTCATGTTCTAATCATCGCACATATCAAGCGCTCCTGATAGTACCTGGCAGTAAGCCAGACGTTGATATTCCCTACTAGCGGGTGCTTTGGTTACGCTATTTGATTTAAGAACGTGTCTATTTAATGGGATAGAAATCTGATGGCCACGTAAATGCTTGCGGGTATTTATTCGTATATAATTTAAATTATCTACAATAAAATAAAACGGTGTCAACTGGAGATTTCTATTTCATTCGCTACTAACTTTTACCCGCAGCTTCGTCCGTTGACCGGGATGTTTTTGATAACCTGAATAAAAAGTAACCTATGTCCTCCTCCATTCTTATTGTACGTGTATGACAAATATCATGGCTATGGGTTAAGCCACTAAATGTTACTTTCACATTAATTATATAGTAATGATTCAAAGTTCTTTAAAAATAGAAATGCTAATTTCATATTTTAGTATTTCGAGTAATTATAAGTACTATATCTAACAAATAAATCATTAATCCACCTGGAACATTTAACTCTGTTTTGCTTAAGAGCGTTCATACAAAAGCTTACAGAAATGTAGCAACGTCGGAATTGTTTGTTAATTATCAACGAAAAAAACAACAACGTAAATATTTTTAATTGATTTATTATTTATAAAGTGCTCTGCTTATGAAATATAACTAAATAAATAAGAATTTTCATAACAAAAAGTATTTACAAAATTCCGAAGCAAAATATGAAATTGGTGCGAAATATTTACTGGTATAATTATATCGACGTAAATTACATCAACGTATTCGTTGATTAACATCTTAATCCACTATCGTAGAACTTTGAAAATCGACCAGAAATATTGAAAATTGTTCAATTGTTTATAAAAGTGTCAACGGCGCATTTATCTGCATAATTGCGACGTTGCGTCACTGCTATAACTTTCGGTATGAACGTCTTTAAGTTCTTATAGTTAATATTATATACTCGTATGATTATTATGATACCAACCACATTAGCAATATATATATATATATATATATATATATATATATATATATATATATATATATATATATATATATATATATATACATATATATACATTTCTGTGTATGAAGCATTGGCAGGCGTATATACCAAAATGTTATAGCTTTATCGACAAAACATAATCCCGTAACTTATCAGAGTCAGATACCTAAACATCGGGATACTTTTACGATCAACAAGGGTGCATGAGAATATGGCACACCACACTATGCTGTGTAGGACCGATATATTTTATGGTGTTGGCAAACGACTCGCGTGATAGTGTCCTTTCGTTTTTACTAATCTAGGGGTGTCATTGGATGGTGTTTTATATACGAGTAATATTTTTATCTGTTATACCAAAACAATGTTGTTCGTATTCATTATTATTTATGAGGTAGGGTTGTCAAAATATTCGCAGTACTTAAACTTTTATACTTAGATATTATTATTACAGAAAAACAAAATATTTAAAAAATATTATTATACTAGTTTTTTGTCCACTACTTTGTAGATTTCAAAAGTAAGAATACCAATGAAATAGATAACTTCTAGATATCGTATCAAAATAAAACATGTACCAGTTTTTTTTTTTTAAATTAGAGCTTTAGGGGCACAAATGTGAAAGTTTAATTTATTTGGTAAAACGGTTTTTACATGATGGAAGAAACATACATACATACAGATAAAATTTTTAAAAATTATTATTTTGACTACTGTTGCTTTTACTAAGACCCCTTCATATTAATTCATCTTTTTTATTTTTTTTTTATTTATAAGTAAGGTCATGTGGAAGTTTGTAAAAATTAATGGACTTTAATAAAAAAAATTGGTATATTTAGATACGGGCCTAATCCGAGTTTCGAATATTATCACAATTCTAAATACGAATATATTAAAATTTCCAAAATTTTGAATAATGATTTTCTGAAAATTTAATACTTTTTATACTACGAGTAGTTGTAACCAAGCCTTAGAATACAACCTACTCATGTATTAAAATTTTATTCAAATCCGTCCAGTTATTAATGCATGAAGAAATAACAAACAACAATCCATCCTCACAAACTTTCATGTTTATTTGTATAGCAATAGCAACATAAATGTAGATTTCTTTTTAAAAATTCACAATCGATAATGGGTAGACAAAAACCATTTAGGATTCACTGTCGAAAGTACATTTTTATATTAAAAATATATATACTTACTAATCCGTCGTTGTGGAGCTCCTCCCACGTCGGGTCTCCTTCCGGTTCCATCTCCATCGCCCCTTCGTAATGAAGTACCGCCACTTGTTTTGCTTTTGTGAATCTGTTTACATAGAGACATGTCATTAAAACGCGTCTCCAGTGCCAATAGGAAAAGCAGGAATGTCACAATTTTATTTCATACTATCACATCTATTATTATTAAGAAACGGGCTTTTTTAGGGAACAAAATCTGTGACACTGCGACCTTTCCATGATCTTTTGTACTCGTCCTTTTATTTTAAAGTTTCCTGCTAATTTTTATTAGTGATAGGAATTTTAAGATGTTTTTTGTAGATATGTTTTTCATCTCTTTCAGATATATAGTGTATTTTCCGAAGAAGATATACCGTTTACGTATGAGTGATACAGTTACAAATTAAATGCTGTGGCATCTTTTCCCCTACGGGATGTCTTAAGAGCGTTCATACCCGTACTTTAGCTCACCGAAATGTGACAACATCATAATTATGCGTCAAGTTTCAAAAACAATCGAACACTTTTTATATTTCGCATCGATTATATAACAAGTGTTCTGTTAGTGAAGCTGTTTCTAAAAGTTTGACTTTTGTTAGCAAAAATGTATTTGAAAAATTCTGAATCGAAATAAAAAGTGCAAAATTCCTAGTGGTAGTTCGTTTCTGAATGGTATATTAACACATCATTTATCACTGTATGTTTGTTCATAAAACGTACTTATTAAATGATTGGAATATAAATTTAAAAAATCCAGTAGCTTAAACTGGATACTGGTTAAAAGCGAATATTAATTATTTTCTCCCATTTCCTGTAACGGGATGGCTGTTTATCAATTTCAAAATTTTCCCAGTATTTGAATTGAATAACAACAAGCTGGTCCAATAGATGTTTTTATTGCATCGAAATAGCCTTCTGTAGGCCCGGAGTAAATTTCATTTTACATACAAACTCCGGCAAATGTTTGAGAATTCACAAAAATATTTGTCTGCGGAAATTCAATCCGACCTTTATTATAAAGCCATGTTTATTTAGAACGAAAATATCATAACATTTATTAGTAAAGTGCCTTCTGCAATGCGATTTTGTCGACGTGATCGGGATATGATTACTAGTCGAGATAAAAATTTGTCTATATTCTTCTCCATCCTATATAGTACGTGTATACCAAATTTCATAGTGAACAAACAAACAAACTTACTTTCACATTTATGATGTTAGTAAGGAATGTAAGCAAATTACAATAAACAATGCTTGTTTATTAGCATTGGCTATGAGAGAAAGAATAAAGATAGCCAATCGGCTGACAAATCACCAGGAATATTCTATAATAAGTTATTTTTTAATAAAATCAGCTTTATCACAAGTTAATTATATTCATAATTTAAGATATTGATGCATAAAAAAGATAATTATTTTTATTTCTGTTAATTTTAATTGTAAAATTATGTGTTCAACTTTATTGTATAAATATTAATTTCCCCGTAATACTAAAGGGGATTGGGAGTGTGGCCCCTTAACATAGGTTACATATTAACCTATTTAGAAGCCCAGTTTTTAAACCATAACTACTGTACCCATTTAAATTTATAATATTAACATTTGCAGTATAATTTATGAAACTACAGTTATGTTTTTACGAAATAAATCTCCATTTCATTTCATTTCAAATGTAGGAAGAAATTGTTTAGAAATTAACATAAGACCAACTTGAATGTAAAGCATATCATTTGCAAAAAATATAATCAAGGCAATTGATGAAAATATCACATTATTTAAATATACACGTAAAAAAATAACATCAATTAAGAACAATAATCGAAACTTTAATTATAAATAACAGGCAATTTCATTATTACAAAATTAAAAAAAAAAGCAATACGAGTAAGAAAGAATAAAAACTATAAATTGAAAAAGTATTATTTTAATTAATTTACGAATATAATTAATGACGACATATCGTGATCATTATCATCATTTCGGATATTATCTGTCTACTGGTGCTGACGATGTCTCGCAACATATTAAATAAATTATATTGATTATTGTCACAAAATTGTACACCGCTCTACCCGCTTACATTGATGCTCCTGTACATTTTGGGTTTGCTGAAAAAGGACTTTTTAAAAATTAAACACGACTTTGTACATTTGAGTACCTTTATCATATTTTTATTTATTTTTTGTTATGCAATTTAGAATGGCAAACAAGCTGACAACGCACTTGATGGAAAGCGGTAACTGTCGCCTATAGACATGAGCAGTACCATGGACATAACAGAGCATACCGTTTCGCCCATGATACCTCCGATGCGTTGCTATGTATATTAAGTGTGTACAATAAAGTATTAAATAAATAAATAAATATTATATAAAAATATCCCTTTTCTTACATTTGGCTATCAAAATATCAAAGTAAATCTGTGTAACCAGATATTCGTGAAAAAATACGTACTAATATTATTTACCTATTAATATTTTGCTATATAACCTTCTTCTTTTTATGTCACGTAAATCGTTTGTAAGTCACACACTTACCGTTCATCGCAGTCCATAAGACCACGGAATCGAATCCAGTAATTATCAATCTCATTGTTGGCATCAAGTACAAAGTCATAGCGCTCTCCAGCGTAGGTCACCAAGGAGGTTGCTGTAACAAAAAGAAAACGTTAAAGCGGAATATTTTGACAATCATGTAGTACAGATATTAGAAGAAAATTCTGCAAAATAATTCACACACATATGCCAGTAACTTATAATTGTCATAAAATTATACTTTAATATAAATTAACAATACTACCTGTACACATTAGATTATTATTATTATATTATATATATATATATATAAGTATAAATAATACTCGTAATCATAATTAATACATTTATTGTACACTATATAATACCAATAGAAGGATTACTCAATTTAGAGAATAGAACAACTACACTACTAACATATAATAGATTTGCCTATTTTTCTTCATTTCCCTTGTACCTTGTCAAGGCATAAAGGAAAACTAATTAAATTGTGTTCCACGAAAAAATCTATTTCAGTTATGGTTATTTTGATTTAAAAATAAACTAAACCGATTTTGATAACATTTCTAAGAGAGCAATCTGTGAATATGTCCTTATAAATAAAAAAGAATTTTTCAAATCAGTTTACAACTTATGAGGATACAGAGTTATGAGGTAATAAACATTAAAAAAACACAACCTAATTAAGACCCTCCTTTTTTAAAATCGGTTGAAAATAGTCAAAGGGGACGTAGCTAATATAGCACAGCCCAATGCATATTTTCAGTTCATTACTTTACTTTAAATCATTTATTTTTATTGTATTGCTCAAAAATAATGATTTTGCACTTTGTTATTTAAAAAATAAACAACAGCTATGTGGCAATTTTGTAATAGAGCAAGAGGAATATTTTATCTCTTTCGCACATATTGAAAACTCCAAAGTGAATTTCTTTGTTGGCACAGGCAATGTTTATTATTCATAAGCCTGACAGACCGTAAGTTTTTCTTCTCTCAGTTCTCACATATTCAATTTTCCGGCAAAAAGTCTGCAAGCCCCATTTCAAAGGGTCAAAGGAATAAACAGTTTTTTTGCGAACATAACATAGGTCTACTCCTTAAAGTCTTTTGTATAATTTAACAGTCTAACTATTAGGTAACAGATGTTTTACGGAGTTTTTTTTTGTATAACCCTTATGTAACCTTTAGTATTCTCGCCCGATTAAATATTACGTCTAATATTATATCAACTACCTTATACCATTCACATTAGGTTTATAAATAATATTACTATTTTTATTTTATGGACGATAATAAAACGAATAGAATGCTTCTATAGACGACGAAATATTTCTTTACAAATTTTTGCGCCAAAAAAAAAACAAAAACTATTGATTTATTTAATTTCCTTGTACATGTACAAAAGAACACCTACAGGATTTCTTTCTAGTCAACAGTAAGGCAAATAAAAAGTTAGGTGGGTCAGTGGTGATAATTTAAAATAATCTTTTATTATATTAAAATCACAAAAAAAAAATTACTTCAATTGTGACAAAACCAGTTATTTTGATTTAAACCCCAAACTACCGGACCGATTTTCATAAAAATTCTATGAAACTAATCTGTGAATATATTTGTATATGTTTTGATATGACAAATGACAGAATTATGAGATAACAAACACAAAAATAGTCGCTTGATTATATATATATATATATATATATATATATATATATATATATATATATATATATATATATATATATATTATAGTACGTATACGTATATGTTTAGAGTACCTAATTGTTTATTTACAAGATTTTACCTCACAACAGGTATTATCTATTATTGTTTTTTATTTAGTAAAATTTTAAATCTATTAGCCGAAGTAGGAATTACTAGTAATTCCTACTTCGGCTGCGTTTTCCGGGTATATTAATTGACCGGAACAAATAGTAACCTACGTCCATTACCATGCCTCTATAGTACGTTTGTACCTCAAGATGTAACAAACTCACTTCCACATTTGTAATACTAGTAACAATTTATCTTACTAATCAATACATCACCAATTACACAAACAAGAACAATACACTTTCTATGTGTGTGTATGTGTATGTGTGTGTGTGTGTGTGTACAGTATCTTTTGTATGTACTTACAAAGTATTTGAAATAAGTAGACACGTAAAACATGTTTATTCAGAGTACACCTTGAAACGTTTGATATCTGACATCAGTTTATTTTGCGAAGCTATTGGGAGTAAATTGAATTTTGGAACTGTGGAAGATACGAGAAAGGGCGGGAAATAGATCGTAAGCTTTTCGAGATCATTGGATGGCTGATCGTATCTTTTCCTGATGCTGATCTATTTTTTCTTTTTTACATTTCGAGGGAGAAAGAGATATTTAACTATTTATAACAAAACTTCTTTAAAATACTAAGAAATACGATTATTAGATGATGGAATTTAAAAAACCTGTTTTATCCCAATCAGGATACGATTCGATTCGTACCCGAAGCGATGGGTTACTCTACCAATTAAAATGTACCAGTCCGTCAATATTACGCCCTCTGTGTAAAAGACCTATTGAACTTGACGGATTAATACGAATTAAATCATATTATGATTCATATAATGCAGCAATTTGACCTCCCAAAAGGTGACAAGAAATGAGGAAAGAAAAATACAAGAAATAAGTTAATCACAAAAACAAAACAAGGGCCGATTTTATCGCTAAAACCTACCCTTAGGCATCATTTAAATTTTAAAATGAGAGTATTGCAGTACTCCATCCATCGAACCGAAACACAAATAACGCAAACATAGAAATAAGAAAGAGGTAGAGGTAGAGATACCTAATCTGTCGCCTTCTTCACAAAGTCTCCTTATTGTTAATGAGAGGGAGACTTTGTACAAAAGTCCTCTGCTTGGGTATATCTGTTCCATTAGTAATTTTGCCGTAACGCAGTTGTGTTTACATAACTGTATATTGTTTTTAAAGGTGAGATTGGCAGTGAATTTACAGGCATAACACCTTAGTCCTTAAGAATGGCAACACGTGAAGAATATTATGGGCGACATAGTATACTGTTATGTCCATGATACTGTTCGTATCTAAGACAACCGTTACCACTTTCCATACAAAAAATAGCTTAAATCATCAGAAAATTCACGTGGCATAAAATGTACATTAGGTTAAATTACTAATCGATGGTATGGGAAGGAAGGAACTGGATAATGACATGAACAGACAAATGCAATATACTCTATCAAGTCCATGGTGCTTTCTTATCATCGCCATTTCCCATCAAACAGTACGCCCTTTTAAGTTGCATAAAAATGGGCAATGGCTACCTTTTTCTACCTTTTTAAAATGAGTTTCAGAACACAGTTTCGAAAATAAACGAATTTGTGTCTTTAACAAAATTATTACCACAAAGAACCTCGGTGAAATGTAAAAAACTTTTTCAAGTAGTTACGACCTCTTAGCGGAGAGGAAAGTTCTGGCGGTAGAAAATATAAATTGCAATATACAGAGGATGAAGCGTATCTTATATTTTACGCTTATTTTTGTATAATAATATAAGCGAATAAATATAAAAATTATATATTCAATTTATATATTAGACATGTATCAGATAAAGTTTTTACTATCTTTAAGAATTATAAATTCGGAACTGAGTCCGTTTATTTGTTTGTATGTACTTATGTTTCGATTAGGCGCCTTAATAACTCAACTAATCGACATCAGATTTAGAGTATACGAAATATTTGGGATGGAAAATAAACGGTGATGGGTAATCTTCATTTATTTTCCATTCCAAATATTCAAACGTCCATCCCAATAGATTGACAAAGATAATGTCAAAAACATAATTTTGGGTATGGTGTACATGATACAGGATAGGCAATTAAGACGCTATAAGGCAATAAACACTTAATTGAGATTGTGGTTCAGAAAAAAGTTACTGATAATTATAATTATTAATTATAATTATTAATTATGTTTATTAATTAAATTTGTTATTAAATTTAATTTAATTATAATTTAATTAAATACATTAATCAAGGCAAAACCAGTTATTCTAATTTAAAAATTAAACTAGTGAAGCCATTTTGAAAAAAATGAATTTCAGATGAAAAAATTGTTTAAATATTTTTTAACTAACGATGATATGAGGTAACAAACGTAGAAAAAATACAACCAAAATAAGTACTTCCTTCTTTTTGAAGTCCGTTGATAACATATTAATATTAATAATAGGAATAATAAAGGACAGTTTATACATAAGAAATAAATAAAAGAAAGGGGCCGCCTGTGAACCATATATAAACACTCAGGTTATGGGATAAGTTCTCTGTCGTAGTTTTTTCTAGAGACTACAGCATGGGGTACTTCAAAAAAAAGATAAATATATTTTTTCAAGGTCGGCACCGCGCGCGTAATGCCCCTGAGATTACAGGCATTCATGGGCTACGATAACTTACCATCAGGTTGGCCGTATGTTTGTTTGTCACCTCAGTGGCATAAAAAATTATTCTACTGAAAAAGTAACAAACATCTAAAGCATCAACAAACTTTGACAATAATGTTAAATGCAAACGAAGCCACTAGCACAGCTAATGTTGACCAAAATCAGTTGAAAATTATTATCAGAGCAACGACTCTGCAAGCGAATAAACTCTTTAAGGGCCATTAAACCGGCAACGAATTCGTTCATTAGTTCACCCCGACTTGATTACTGTAACAGTGTCAACAACTTTCATTCGTCTAATTAAAAATGCTTTAAAATACATTCAATTAGATCATCCATTCGTTATGTATGGACTAAAACGAGTTATTTTAATTAAAAAACTAAACTGTAAAGCTAAACACGATATCGTTTATGACAAGTATTATTCTTGGTAAATTGTTATATAGTCTTATAGTCATTCATATCAGCGCTTAACTGTCTACTGCTGAACATAAACCTCCCTCGTAGGGGGTTTTGCCTGTAGTTGCCACGCTTGGTAGGCGGATTGTAAACCGCAGTTAGGCTTTAGAGATGTTTTAAGAGGGACGCTGCTGCACATCCCTCGGCCTCCTTATTCGACTCTTACGACACCCACGGGAAAGGAAGACGTGGCCTATTCT